TTGCACACTCGTAATAGCGTCTGAACAGTGACTGCAGAAACACAAACGAACAGACAAAGAATATTTTATTCACATTTTCGTATCTCAGCGTAGTGTTCTGCACTACAATCAGGAAAACTGTGAACCTTATAAAGATTCCTATCAATATAACTGAAAATAACGTCGATTGGAACAGTTATCGAGGCAAAACAAGAGCAAAATACTCACGTTTTCGATACGACGGCTAGTCGGGCGAAATGGCGTCCTCGACGAGATGAGGACGGCAGAGAGATGAATCGAGAGTTCTCGTGCGCATGCCCGGTTGAGTTAATTTACTTCCGGTAGCCGTCCTAGCTCGTCCCGTCCTGGTATCTTAAGGTGCCTATTGTGGACGTGACGGTACGCTGCGTTCTCAAATTTCTCCGGCGCAGCGTAGACGGCGCCTTATACTTAAGACTATACTTCTGACCAGTCTAGTCTCAACAGTTTCTAGCATTCTACGGAAATGTTCATATTACTCGTCAGCTATAAGAATGCTGCCGGTACCGAAGGCTAATTATAACTGAATGGTGGTGTACATTTTCGATAGAGCTCCGGAAACAGGAGTAAGAACCGACCACAAGCAGAGTTAAGCTATTTCCGCAACATCTCTGGTTTCGCACAAAATTTGAAAAATTTGAAAAAAATATAATTGAAAAAAAAAAAATGAAAAGAAAAAATAAAAGATTTATACGTTGCGCGATATCAGCACTGAGTAATATTTGTTGTTAACGGACAAAAGAAAACGAAATAGCCTGTTAGGTCGATATTTGCATTAGGAAGAAAGCTATTGTTTAATTGAGCATAACTTATCATTTTGCCACCAGCTCGGACTCGGAAGTTTGGTTGTGTATTATCAAGAGTACTGAACAAGCTTCTGATTTCAAACAAATAAAAAAAAAACAACACACGTATATAGACAGTATAAGGGCATAGTTACAAAACGAAAGTCGTGGAACCGGCAGACAGAAAATTTTAATCGTCCAACGGATTTATCATTAGATATTCGCGTTCGTTCATTATAAGCTTAAAACTTTTAAAGAAATACTTACACTACCACAGCAAAACAACATACAAGCTATTTCGATGAATATTTTAGCTTACCTGCTTTCTCGCGGTTTTCCTTGAAAGAGTCCATGAAAACTGGTAACAGTACACCGAGTGCAAAGGTAAATCCAATCGTCAAGATCATACAAGTTGTCGCACAGAAACAAATAAACCACGACCAAAGGCTGTCTTGCTTGTAAGAAGAAATATTAATGCAACAAAAAACCATTGTTAGCAGTTTCAACCTGTGCTTTACCAAAGTAGTGGCTGGTTTTCCGAATATAAAACGCTTTAACGGGCCATCATCCGGCTGTGTGCGTTGTATCTCTACATCGCATCCTTGTGTTCAAATAAATCTTTTTTTTTTTCATGCCCGTCACGCAACAATCATTTGGTATCGTGACATTTTCAATGCTAGTTTTCAGTCTGTCTCGGTCAAAACGGCTGGACAATCGTTCTGAAGACAAAAACTTTTATGGTTCGGGTCATGAGAGCCAGAGTAGTTGACGATGTTGTTCTCCTTGACTCAAAATGACCCCAATCACCCTCGACGTAAGCGGGACAGTGGCTGGTCTTATCTCGTTTGTGGTTGCGCTACCCTTTGTCAGACTATCAACATGGGACTTGCAACAAGCTTTGGTGTTCTTTTTCCAGTGATCATTAAGAGGTTTAACTCCAGCAGGCAAGAAACAGGTATGAACAACTGAGGTTACCATTTTGATCAGCCCTCAACTGAGGGACGGTAATCATCCTACTACTAGGTGATCCTAGTCCCAGGAAAGGTCCTGGGAAACAATGAAGTAGTCTCTTAACGTCCGGTTCCGAATCTTAACTACAGAGTATAACCATTACATAATCAGTGTGAGCCGAGGCCGGCAGAAAGAATGTCTTGTTCAGGATTGTAAAGCAAGAAAAACGGAAAATCCTTCTGTTAACGTATGTGCAGCGAAGGGAATTGATGAGGAGTATTTTTTTTCCTTGTCCTTTTGTGCGCATTTTTATTAAGCGAGCGCCATCTTGGATTCAAACTCGGAGATGGCTTGGAGAGAGAGAGAGACCAAAAGGCGTCTTAGGGAGTAAGACTGAAACTTAAATTGGACCAAAGGGGAGAGGGAGGGGAAGGAAAAACATGTCTGGCGGCAGTCATTGTTTGTTTGAGAAACGGCATTCATCCCCCAAGAGGATCTGATTGGTGCTGTGTGGAGCTAATAGATTGATGCCTGCCAATAAACTGTAAATCGATTTTCTTTCTTCTTTTCTGAAGCACTTCGTGGGCCAACATAAGCACACCTCGATTCGAGAGTGATTATAGGTATTACCTTGGGGGACCTCCTTCCATGTTGAAGGTGTTCACCAGGACATGCTGATGGACACTCTGGGTGTAATTTTTGGCCTCACTTCCCTGAACAGGGTGTAAATAATTTAAATTGTGATTGTTAGCATTGTCCTGAATGTGATGTAAGCTACAACATAAGCCATTGTTCCTCAGAGGCCCTTGCACCATGCCATGTGCTCACAGCCATGTTGCTCGATTTAATGTGTTGTTGTTGTTGCGTTCAGCTCTGTCTCATACTCACCCATTTAGCTGCACATTGCACCGAAGAGGATCTAACCCTGTGGTTACACAATTGCCACCAATAAATGTGATCTATACAGTAATCAGCAATCAGTAAACAGAGACTTTTGCCAGTCTTTAGCAAGTCATCTGTTGACATCTGAGATTATTTGTAGGGAAGTATGGTAATTGATCCAACATCATCACCTTCTGAGACAGAGATTTTTCTGTGGCAGCCTCACGACTCTGGAATAAAAATTTCCAGATAAGATTAAGGACATGCAGTTACTCAGAAACTTCTTTTAAATCACTACTTTAAACATATAGACTGTTTCATCAGATATAAAGATATCAATTACTCAGTTTTTTATATATAAATTATATTTTATACAATATAGTTGCTTTAGAGACATAGTTTAGTTTTAAAATTGTTTAGCTTTTATAAATTAAAACTGATTTTAACATGCATAGGATTTTGTCTTTGTAAAAGCATTGAGACCCCAGTTTCAGGGGTTCTTAAGAATATAATCATAACAAAAGCAGCCCATCAAGGGGGACCTGACAGAATTGAGAATTAAAATAGAAGGGTTTCGTGCAAAAAGGGCATATGTGACATTTTGGGCCGATTTTCATTTTTTGCAGGATCGAGCTAATTTTTGGCAGACTGAGTTGTTTTGATATGAAGAGCATCGTTGTGTAATTGTTTTTGTTAATTTGTGCTTCGTTTTCGAGAAATAACGCCTGCGAAAAAACTCAGTTTTCTAAGGGTATCTTTTGGAGATCTTTTGTTGAGCAAAAAACAAAAGAAACCTTTGTTTTGCTAAACGATGAAGACACCGAAGTGTGGTATTTGTCGCTAGTTTTATTATTCATATAATTACGCAACTCTCTTACTGTTGCTTCCTTAGCGCAAGCGAATAAGGCGCTGAACTGGCCGGATGCGAGTTTGTTTTGTCATGACACCGGTGTGATACGAGGTCGGTCAATTTTTTTTTTTCCGGTCTATTTCTCTACTTCTTTCAAAAATCAAAACATCTATGTAAAAAAAAACCATGCTGTCGAAGCTGCTAAAAGTAACCGTTTAAGTTTGTGCCGCATCAAAATCCACCTTGGAAGGATTCGCTCCAAAATGTGCCGCTCAGAAAACTGAGGGTTTTTTTTGCATGCGTTACTTCTCGAAAACGAAGCGCAAATCAACAAAAACAATGACGCAACGATGCTTTTCATGTCAAAACAACTCAGTCTGCCAAAAATTAGCTCGATCCTGCAAAAAATAAAAATTGGCCCAAAATGTCACATATGCCCTTTTTGCATGAAACCCTTCGATTCTGGCAGGAAGCTCCCCTTTCAATCCAAAGGGCAAACTTTTACCTTTGCTTTAGGGTCTGTTCTTTTTTGTATGAGTTAAGGGGGAGAACTGGTGGGATTCAGTGGGGGGTGACCCAAAAAATATGCTTTGTAAGGGGAAGGGTCACTCACATAATAATTTTACCATTACGTGCATTGTCACATCTATAAAAGTGCAGAAATATAGCATTTCTGAAGTTCTAAAAATTTACATTTTCTCACGGTAAGATGCCCCTGCCCTACCTTCTTCTTTGTCATTTTACGAAAAGTTTCAACACATCCCCAGCAATTATTTTTTTGCAAACACAGTCAACTCCACTAACGAGCATGTCCCCAAAACAGTTAGTACCATAATCACTATCACTTAAAACTACAACTTTATCTGTTATGAAGTTTACCTGGCTAAGTTCAATTTTACTTATCATTTTTCTTAGGGTTGGAGGGGGGAGGGGGGGCAGTGTGGGGTTGTCTTAACAATTTAGGATTATGAGGGGGTCCAGGATCTTGCACTATTGGCATCATAACGCCACGTTGTGATGATGATGGAGGTCCAGGGTTAAAAATTTCTGATAAATAGGGTTGTTGTGATATCTTGCAGGGCCCATCTATTAAATCCCACCAGCCACTTCCCCCTAACCCCGCAAAAATGAATGGTCCTTAGTCTTGGAAGTAGACAGTAAAATATTACACCGTTGCTAATCACTTCTTTCTCTCTCTACAGCTTGGATAGGCTCACTGCAATCATTTCTTATTTTCTTTGCCAGTCCTGTGGCTGGTCGCATGTCAGAGAAATTTAGCTGTCGTTATGTCAGCATGATTGGAGCTGTGACATCAGCAATTGGACTTGTTTTATCATCATTTGCTAACAGCATCATCATTCACTACCTCACATATGGTTTACTGTTTGGTTTTGGTTCCAGTTGCGTTCGCACATCAAGTTTCCTTGTGGTTGCAAAATATTTCGACAAAAGGCGACCATTTGCCACAGGGATACTAACATCTGGTGCTGGCCTGGGTTTGTTTGTATTAGCACCAGTTGTTCGAGCTTTGTTGGACAATTTCAGTTTAGAGAACACTTTCAGATTCCTGGCAGGAATTGCCTTTGTGGGTGGGATTCCAGCATTAACATTTGATCCTAATGTGGAGCAAGACAATCCAAATAACTCCAACTCACAGCTGGAAGAAGAGGGCTCTCGCAAAGAAAGAAAAACTAAGATCATAGTGGACTGTTCAGTATGGACAGTGCCTGCATTCACTGTCTTTGCTTTGGCCTTAGCGATGGATCGTTTTGGAGGCGCTATCACTCGTATGCACCTGGTAAGTAAATAAGCAGCAGATCAAGTAATGCGGTAAAGGGCCGTGGTGGATGAAGCGAAGGTGTGAAGGGACGGGACGTGACCCTGTTTTGCTCCAATCAGGAGGTTGGGTGAGGGTTGGAGGGGGCAGCCGCATCTTTGGATCCACCAAAGCGAATTGAAATTATCCTTATGTCAACCTCGTTTCCAGGCTTTCTCTCCTTGGCCAAAGGAGAACGCCTGGGAACGAGTTTGTCCTAATGGTTGGTCACGTCAGTAACATCAGAGGCCTCTATAAGCTAATCTTGGCACATTGTCTACAAGGGAAACTGAGTGGCGTAAATAATTAAGGCGGTGGAATCTGAAGCGAGCAGACGGAGTTCAAACCCGGGACCATTGTGGTTTGTTCTTGGGTAAGAGACGTTACTCTCACAATGTCTCTCTTTACCCAGGTGTGTAAATGGGTACCGCTGAATTGTTGGGAAACTTGACAGATTGCCGAGGAGTAATCTGTGATGGACTAGCATGCTATCCAGGGGAAGTAACGGGATCTCAACTTGAGAAGCAACTAACCACTAAACAGTATTGCTAAATTCGAGATAAATATGTCTGTCTGTCTCTAGACTACCCGTGTATGCTAGACCATCGCAGCTTACCTGAAATAAACGTGTCGCCCCTTTTTCCCTTATCGTTCGAGCGTGACACGAACAAACACACGAAATGAAAACGGGCACGCGCGCTTTCTCACCCTCGCTACACGTTTTCTGGGAAATTCCTGAAGAAAACGTGTAGCGAGGGTGAGAAAGCGCGCGTGCCCGTTTTCATTTCGTGTGTTTGTTCGTGTCACGCTCGAACGATAAGGGAAAGACGGGCGACACGTTTATTTCAGGTAAGCTGCGATGGTCCAGCATACACGGGGAGTCTAGAGACAGACAGACATGATTTTATGTTATCTCAAATTTAGCAATACTCTTTAGTGGTTAGTTGCTTCATGCCAGAAAAACAGTACAAACCTGAGCTGTTTTGGTGGCAGGTTATGGTACAGTGTAAAGCCCGTAGAAATGTTTCCTTTAATCTGATGTATCATTCTTTGACTGTCAGGTGAAATATTCAGAAGAACAGGGCATCTGTCCCGACAATTCTGCAAAATTACTGATGTTCTATGGTCTTTCCTCGTGCATCGCAAGATTATTAGCAGGACGTGTGTGCGATCTAACATGGGTCAACCCTCACTATGTTTTTCAAGTTGGTAACTTCATTGCAGCTCTATCTATCATTTTTGCCCCTTTGGCCCGGAGTTATATTCATTTTCTTGTATGCAGTTTGTTTTTTGGTGTGGGAGCTGGTATTAGCATCTCCACAAGTAACCTGATATTTTTGACTTGTGTCGATGAGCGGAGGAGGGCATCCGCTTTTGGGCTGGCGAGCTGTTTGGCTTCTTTTTCCGTACTTTCATCTCCCCCATTGGCCGGTAAGTTTATTTACGTTACATATAACTGCTCATCAAAGTTTTCCTCATCCCTGATAGTCCTAAACTGAAAACAGGTTATGGGATGACGTTATGCTAGGCCTGCTTGACTGGCGTAAAACTGAATTGAACTGCTGTGAAAATTTCAACAAACTAATGCGCGGTTTTCAACCAAGTTTCGTAAAACCAAAACCACTTTGGTCAGTCACAAGAACCCAGGTCATCAATCAGTCCAGTCAGATCTCCAAGCAAATACACGTAGCTGGCGCGAAACGCGGGAAACTGATGTGCGTGTAATTGCAAGTCACGATTGGTTTTGTTTTAACATCTCATTGGTTGAGAAAGTGGCGTGAGCCTCGTTTTAACCAATCATTAAGCATAGAAAAGGAAAACCAATGCCAATGCAAATTACTTTCGGTCCTCAAGTGAAAACCGTTCAAAACTTCCACTCGCGTGTTTCTACAAGTCCATAGAAACACGGAAATTGTTTGCTATTTCTTATACAACTAGTGCCAGTTTTGTATTTCTACAGAGTTTTGGCTTTGCTTTCTTCAAGTTTCTCGGTTTTTTTCCTTATATATGAAATTTGTTCTCCCCCAAGGTTTTCTCGCCGATACGTTAGAATCCTATGCGCCTTCGTTTTATTTGGCCGGCGGTGTGCTTCTCCTCTGTGCGGTCCTTCCATTTGTCCTGCTCTGTGTTAAAGTCAAGAACAGAAACGATCAAAGTGATCAGGAGATGATAGCTATGGAAGAGGATGGTCAAATTCAGAATGTTTCTGCTTGCTAGGACTCAGAAACGCTGGCTCTGTAGAAGAACGCGTTATAGTTACATATTCATACATGGAACTTTAATAGTAATAGTATTTGAAAATTGTGTATTTACCTACTTGCCCTGAAGATGGCCTAGTCGTTCGGTGTTTCTTTTTACTATTTAACTTTTTTAGCCTTGTAAATAGAAATTATTTTTAAAATCAAGGCGAATATTATGGACAATAGTATTTGAAATTTAAACAGCGCAATTTTCATCTTAATGATCATATGTGCGTCACAAAATATCGTTAAAAACTCAAAAAAACAAAGAAGTGTTCTTCAAAAATATCGTGTAGAAAAAAACCCGGGTAAGACCCATGAACGTGCAAAATGAACGCCGCTGAAATCCTCGATACAAACCAAAAATTAGCTCTTAGGATCAAAAAACTACATGGCTCTTTAACATAAACGTCTTGTGATCAACTGTTGCAACAGGCCTGTTCTCTCAATTTTCAGTCCTTCGTAGTTTTGCTATCACCCTTTCTACAGCACGCGCGACACAGGCATCTACAAGCCAGGCTTATCACCTTGACAACCATGGTAGCTATAGCAACAATAAAAGCGATGACGTCAAGTAAGCAATACTGATACCAAGGGTTGTCGAGCACTTGACCTCCAAGTAATAAAATGTGCCCAAGGTGTCAAACATTTTATAGATAAAAACTATAACACTACATGGACATAGTTTGGGTTTTCCTATGAAATACACAGTAACGGTTTTTGTTTATGATATGAGAATGCCTAAAAATTGACCGGAAAGTAGGACTTACTTGTATACCATGTCCTTTCTTAGCAAAATTAATTTTTTTTTCAATGAAGAATAAGTTCCTCGAGTTAAATTGTCATTACTTAACAGAGGCCTGTTGCCACTTCAATAAAGTTGCAACAGTAAAAAAAGGCATAAAAAAACAGTTTACTTTTTACTAAAATAACACCTGCACACTACTATAAATGTTCTCAATTTTCAGTCCTTCTTAGTTTTGCTATCACCCTTTCTACAGCACACACGACACAGGCATCTACAAGCCAATCGTATCACCACGACAACCATGGTAGCTATAGCAACAATAAAAGCGATGACGTCAAGTAAGTAATACTGATACCAAGGGATGTCGAGCACTTGAGGTCTGAAGTGCCGGGCTCCACCGTGTCTGAGAACATACTCTATCCAGTCACAGGTTTCTTGAAGCGGTGTTCGTCGACGATCCTTTAACAGACCGGAGATATGCATTGCCTTTGATTTGAATCTAAAGGGAAAGTGGAGAACTTGACTGTTAGTAAATTATTTGACCTGTGAATCATGTTTAGGTTCAACAGTTAAACCGTGAGTTAAGCTTGATAGGCTTGAGCCAAACAGTTCATGCATTTACAATAATTTGTAAAATATTCAAAGTGCGAAGTGTCAAATTGCAATTTGCAAAAGATTATTTACTCAGTTGCAACAGTAACGTAGTAAATGGTTTGAACCCAGGAGTATCAGTAGTTCGTATAGTGTGATTGTCCGGGTGAGATTAGTTCTGAAAAGAACTGTTATTGGTGACTGACGCTTCGACAACCTGAGCGGTAGCCATCTTCAGAGTCAAGTAAATAGTGCATGTCAGTTGATGGTGTTGTAAGTCTGGTCCGTTGAAAGTGATTAGTCAGTTTCTTCTAAACACTTGAGGAAGAAAGAAATTGTACAAGTAGTGTAAGTATAAGTAGTATAAGTAGCATGTATATTGTAAGTGTAAATGTAATTATAACATCAGTAATGTAAGTAATGTAAGTGCTCAAGTTGTAAATAAAATTCCATTCAGAAAAAAAAAGTGCATGTCAGTTGATGGTGCTATAAGTCTGGTCCGTTGAAAGTGATTATTCAGTTTAGCCATGATGGTATTGGCTTTAAGACTCACTCACCAACAGCAGTTCCTTTCAGAACTACCCTCACCCGGACGATCGCACTATACGAACTACAACAGTAATATTACGAAACATTAGTAGGTATCTTTACCTTGGTTCAGTAATAACACGCTCGATTGTTTCAAACAGTTGCTGGGTATTACTGGTTTTATGATCCACTGCTAAACCAAGGCCAAAATGTTGTGCTTTCTTGGCATTACTTTGCTGGTCTCCAAACAGAGGGAAAGCTACTAACGGAACTCCGTGGTATGTTGACTCATAAAGGCTGTTGTGTCCCACGTGGGAGACAAAAGCTTTGATGTCCTTGTGAGCCAGTAAATCATTCTGAGGTAACCAGTCCACTATTTTGATGTTTGCACCAAGGAAGGAAGGAATGTAGCCTGCAGGAGAGGACAAAGTCACTTGGTCTTTCTTCCTCAAATTCATAAATAATTAATCAAAATTAAATTACAGGCCCGGTCCACACAACGCCAAGGAAATTTGAAAATGGAGGTTTCACTCTAAAAACGCATCAATTTTTTTTCCGTCCACACTACGCTGGAGAAATTTGAAAACGCAACAATCAGCGGCCATTTTGGATTTGTGTTTGAGGAAAACTCGGGCAGGTAAATCACATGTTTATCGTGACGTCACGGTTTTTCGTAAAGCTCCGTTTTCAAAATGTTTGTTTCGTCCACACTAAAACGCCAGCGGGGCCAAAGACCCTGTCCACACTACTCCGGACATTTGTAAATCTTGGTTGGATATCTGATCTTAATTAGAGGAGATTTTTACAATTTTCTTTCTCGGATTTCTCTTTAGTTTTAGCTTCGATTGAGAAGATATATCAAACAATGAAGACAGTGTTTGACCACATTTCAAAAACACCTCGTAGTTCGTCAAAAATACTCCGCTACGCGTCGTATTTTCAACTCTCTTCTCGATGTTTGGAAATGTGGTCAAACCTGGTATTTCGTGTTTAACAGATTACGCAAAACTTAGCAGAGTGAGAGCTTAATTTACCAAATGCTCAAGATTGAGACTTCATACAATACAGATTTTGATTTTCGTCGACATTAAAACATATCGTTCAAAAAAAAAAAAAACGACAGCCAGCAGACCGGCTGACGGACGGAAATACCATGAGATAAACAAATGAAAAGACTGTTCGATCCAAAAACTGACTTATTCACCGTTTTCCCTGAAGAAAAAGGTAAAACGTGGAAATGGAGTTGCCGACTGATTGCTTGATTTTATATATTACACTGATACCTTTAAGCCTCCACACAACTTTCTGTTTCAGCTTTCCAAATGCTGCAGCTAGCATGTCTACCGCCTTTCGTGAAAGAATTGAAGCCACGTTTGATCCAAAGGAAACAATAATAAAGCCATGGCCCCCTGAATTGCTGACAAATTTCTCTAATTCCGGAGGGAGGGGTCTACCATCTCTGACACTCAGTGGTCCAACCATCACGTTGCCTGTTGAATATAATCCCAACAACTTCATTTCACCTTGGTAAGCAAAAGCCAGCAGCAGTCTGTCCACAAACGTTTCATTTTTATTCTTAATGTTTTCCTTGCGATCTCGACGAACTCAAGACAAAACAGAGGACCTGCGGACAGACTAGGCCAGAGGTCACCTAAATATCCTTGGTATGTTGGGTCGAGGCATGGATTCTCTACGAGAAATATAATTAAAATCTCTTGTAACAATTACTGAGATTTAAAAGCTCGAGATTTAGGGACGGTGGATGGCAAATTTTGCCAGAAGGCGAGACTAGCGTTGTTGTTGTTTTTTGGGAACCAAAGACATTTTTGACTATTTTAGATCGCAAGACCGAGACTTCAAAGTGTTTAAAAACCGAGAGTGCGAGATCACGAGACCAATGGGTTCGGAAGGACCATTCACCACCCCTAGATAATCTAATTATTTCAGACGAATTCGAACTAAATTTCTTTCAGATAACGAGTTCTATTGTTTCTCTACTTATTAAAAGTAGTAGTATGCTCTAACAAAATCGCAGAAAGATTGAATTGCCGTTTTAAACTTGCAGCTTTTTACAGATTTACACCCTGCCTGTGAGCTACGCCATTTGCAAGGGCTACCTCCTGCCTGTAAGCTACGCCATTTGTTAGGGCTACCACCTGCTTTGTGGGCGTGCAGGGGCTTGAAATTCTTTTCATCCCTAAGAGGCACCAACTCTAAAACAACACATTATCTCCTATCACATTTTTTTTCAACTCAATACCCTGAAAGGTACTACAAAAGCTACTGCTGTGGACCTTTTGAGGCTGGACACCGGCCCTAAGAGGCACCAAAACTGCTTACGACGACGGTACAACGAGCACCCCGGTTCTTTTTATATGAGATTCCCCCGGGGGTCAATGTCCTGTTCCAGGGAACTGAGTTATCTAGCAACGTTTACTATTTGAACATTTGTGTATACATTACAGGCGTACAATGCCATGGAATAAACCACACAATCAATGATATGATACTTGCTTTTCCATGAACTTTTCATACCTGGTAATAGAGGTTGAGGATACTCCAAAGCAAAATCTGCTGTAATTATAACCAGTTCAGTATCGCGAGCAGCCTGCAGGTAGCTTCTCTCAGGTTTGATGTTGTACTTGACTTTCAGAGCATTCATTGGTCTATCGATCGCAAAATACACGAAGAGATTTACTCCAAGGTATACTCCAAAATTGATGGCACGTTCCACAAAAGTCATTTTATCAGAAAATCCCGTCATTAGTTCTGGAACATAAGAGACTGGGATGGGTACCGCATGGAAATATGAAGCAAATAGGTTGTTTGGAGAAACAGGCATAATCTCCACTCTTGGAATACCAAGATGTTCACCAAGTGATACAGCGCCGAATGCAGCAGTGTCGTGAACTAAAAGGTCAAAGTCTTGCAGTTCTTCAAAAACTTCTGTGCTGTTTAATAGACCTTCACACATGGTAGGTATCACCTCACTTGCTTTCAGCATCAATTGTACTTTGTTCCCCTCAAGTTCAAGTCGTATCATTTCATCCAAGAAGTCAGGTGTACAAGGCACTTGGTAAATCTTGTGTGGCACTCTCTCACTGGGTTTGACTTTCTGGGTTGACGGCACAACCAGTACAACCTGATGGACATGCATAAATACAATACTAGAACTAAGAATTCCTTCCGTTTGCCCAACAGTGAGACAAACGTAGAGAAATTCTCACTCAGTTTTCAAAACCCCAAATTAGTTAGCTCTCTCAGCGCTGGGATTCAAAATGCCTTTAGTATTGTTGTGTTCACCTCTAAACTTAAGTCATCTTAGTTTTCTTGGTGTAAGTATGTTTTACTTCTCTTAGTGTGCTTGTTTGCTTTTTTCTCTTCGTTTGCTTTTGCGCAATCCCTCGTTTAGTTTTGTTTAACTACTTCTTTATTCTAAATTATGATCACTTTGTGTGCCGATGACAGCATTTTTATTCACTTTTGTCAAGTCTTGGGTATCTTTCGTATTTCTTCAGAACAAGAGGTATTCCTGTTAATGCGCTTTTTCTTTGCCTTGAATAACTTGTATTTGAACACGTAGTCCAAAAGTAGATTTCATACAAATATATGTAACGTGACGTGAACGCAAGGACTGGATGCGACATTTAATACCGTTGGTCATTGTCAAGATAAAAGAACATGTGTTGTTTCTATAGATAAAGACTTCTTAGTTAATAGTAACTACTAAAAGGATATATTTATAACAGTTATTTTAGAACAAGGCCGGGTTATGTGTACCATGTACCACAAAATTGTTCTGTTCTGCAATATAAGGCACTATGTTTTCTCTAAACATGCTAACTTACAGGCAGCCTCCACTACCTGTTAGGGAAACTAGTATTAAA